TTTTTTTAAATACCGCCTAATAACACAAACTTAACGCGTTTTTTCAACGCATTAACAAAATAAATTCTACGTACACCAACAAAACACTAACCTTAACGACATAACAAATCTGCGGCACAGGCTGCTGTGGTTAAATTCGGCAACCAAGTAAAGTTATTTACGCAAGTTGTTAGCAGAAAATGTCTAAAGGCTGACAGCACATACCGTTATGTTTGCAAAACATTTGTTGCTGTGTCAAAAGAAGCTTTGCTTGGAAGATTTTCAATTTTTGCACACATTACTTAGACACACGCGTGCACATACATATGTATGGCTGACTGACTACATGGGTTCAACAGGGTAAATTTTAGTAGATTTTCATACTTGTATTGTATATACATATGTAGTATAAGTGTTTTTGTGGAAACCATTGTTGAGACTTTTAGTTGGTTAAAAGTAGAAAAATATTTGAGTTATTCAAATAGTAGTGCAGAGTATAAGAGTATAAGTAGGAAAATTTCGCTATACTTATTTATGTATGTACTTTATTTGCATGTATTGGGACACATTGTATGTGGCTGCAGCAGTATCTGTTTTCATATATATTTAGCTATGTAATAATCCTCTCTGTATATATATGTATATATTATAAATGCATTTGCATAGTAACACTGTTATCATTTGATAAACATTCAATTTGTTTTAGTTCATTATTTCGAAAAAAAAAATATAGTACAAACAACAATTCATTTAATATACGCTACATATAACAAAATTTCAATTCAATTTTAACATTGACATACATACATACAAACATATAGTTTGATAAACTTTTCCAAAACAAACGCGCGTCAAAGATTCGTTAAATTCAATTAATCGCAGGGTTGCATTTTTTTTTTTTTGCTTGTTTGCTTTATACAATTTTGCATTTATTATTTTTAAAATAACACGTTAATTTACGCAATTATCTCGCGGAAATTATGCCGCAGCATTTTCAGGTAGCGTACTTTACGCATTATCTGGCAACGCCATAAGTTATTATTGGCGCTTCCAGCGGATAATGGAAGCTTTGTGTGCATGTTTACGCGCATAATACGTACATACATACATACATATACTTATCATGTACATATTTTTACATAAATTATGTTTATTTTATTTTACTATCAGTTTTTTTTTTTAATTTTTTTTTTAAATAATTTT